GTGGGCAAATGGAAATTTCAAAAGAATTACTGAAAAATGGCAGGTAATCAAAAAGTTATATACTCTTGCCTTTTACAGTGTGTTTTTAACCTGTATTTGAATATGATTACACCTGTTGGCATGGGCATTCATAATACTTCAGGCAGACTGCCCTCTGAATACTTGAGTTTTGGGACTTAGAATTTAGTCCAGCTTTCCAATCTCACACCCTCACAATCCTACTTCGTACTTGAGATAACATTATCTCCTGGTGCTAAACCTAAGCTGAACTGCTTGGTATAAACTTGTTGCTATACTTGTTTTATATATGTTTTAAACTGCCCTACAGGTAGGAGGAAGTAATTAAATGTTTGGTTTTTTAAAGCCTCTCACTAAGAGGTGTGGCAGCTATGGGCTCCTGCCTATTTATTGACTACATAAAAGCATTTGGATCCATAGAGCAAAATGCACCCTGAAAAGGTCTTTACTGATAAAGCACTATTAAAGCAAAGTTACCCAGTGGAGGCAAAGGCCAAGGTGGTTTTATTCAGAGATGCACTGAGTATAGACAGCAAATGAGGTGTTAAAGCAAGGCAATGCAGGTTCACCAAAGATGTTTGCCAACATCATGGAACATGTCTTAGCATAAGAAGGATTGGCCAAGAAAAAGAAGGATTCCTTATGGATGGTGAAGTTTTCTAAGTGTTCCTCATTATAGATGACATTGATAGCATAATTAATATGATTAATAATCAAGTACTGAAATGCTTCAAAGCATCCTTAGTGAAATAGTAACATGTATCAGTTTAACTATCCACACTGAAAGATACATTTTGCCCATATTATAAAACTAGATGGGCATTTATTGAATGAATCCATCAATGTTTATTATTAAATAAGTGTTGGAGATGGATAATGAATTGGATTTGGAGTCAGATTACAGGAGATCGAGTTATATTGCATTTCAGAAATGGTATAGATCTTTGTACGATGCCAAATTACTTCCTGCCCCAAAAGACCACCTTGTGTACCTATATTCTTCTGGTGATACCACAGAGGTGAGTATCCTGAAATTAAAAAGACATATAAACCAAAAGAAAACCAAAGAATCGCGTGGTGTGTGTGTGAGCTACCACATGTTTGTGGACATCATGATTTGAGCATGAGCAGCAGGCAAGTGTCTGACCAGTAGAGGTCAGCTGTCCAGAGTAAGAAGGAGAGAAAACAAAACGGCCAGCCTGGAAGGTCCATTTTGAGTAAATCCTCTGTGAAGAATATTTGGGAAAATTAAAAAAAAAAAGACAGGATGAAATGCCAGTCATGGAAGGGCTTCAGTTTCTAGCAGTGAAAGGAATAACCTGTACTAGTGAAAACACTGGTTCTTCAGAGCATTTTTATAGACTAAGCTGGCTACATTTAATTTGTAACGAACAATAGCTCTATCAATAAATGCCTTCAGAAACCAGATACATAGAAATAAAAGGAACGTTTTCAGAAGTGATTAAGGATGTTGTTTTTGGCATCAAAAATTCTTCAACTGGCAAATTCACTTCTGCTTTACTTTACATTTCATTCTTTCCTCCTGCATTTAAATGCTTTATGGTTCACGAACTGCTTAATAACAGAAGCCAAAGAAACAGAAGAGATTGAACAAATTAAGCTAAAATGTTGCTTATTAAATATCAATAAAAAATGGAGAAGCATCTCTGATTCTAATTCAAATCCCTTGGACAATAGAATTCTGTGTGTATATCAGTTCAGTAATGTGTTTGTGGGGCAAAATGAAGCTTATCTGCTTACTTTAAATCTTGGAGAGCAGGACTCATGTTGCTCCCTCCCCTTTGATTTGTTGTGTTACTGGATTGTTGGTATTAAATTGCATTTGGGGTAAAAGATTACTGCCAAATTTCAAGGGAAGTCTAAGCTATCAACAAGTATGTGAAAAAATGCTTCAAATCACTAATAATTAGAGAAATGCAAATTAAAGCAACTCTGAGGTTCTACGGATATCTATCAGACTAGACCAAAAAAAAAAAAAAATGAAGAAATGACAGATGTTTGGAGGGGCGTGGAAAAACAGGCACACTGATGAACTGTTGGTAGAGTCAGTCCAGCCAATTGGTCCATTCCAAAGTGATTTGGAACTGGTTCTCTCAGAGTTACTAAACTATACCATATTCTTTGACCAGGCGATATACCACTACAAGATCTTTACCTCAGGGTGACCTAAGAAAGAGGAAAAAGATGCATATGTACAAAAATAGCAGCTATCTTTGTAGTAGCAAAGAACTGGAAACTAGCTAAAGGAGTGCCCATTTATTGGGGAATGAATGCCTTAAGAAACTATGGTATATGAATGTAATGGAATACCATTATTCTCTTAAGAAATGATAAAAGGGATGATTTCAGAGAAAACCTGAGAAGATTTGTATGAACTGATGCAAAGTGAAGTGAGCAAAATCAAGACTCCAATTTCTACAATACAGTTCTGCTGTCAACTTTGTAAAGACAAAAAATTTTGAAAGACTGATGAAGTCTGATTAATGCCATGACCAACCACAATTCTGGGGAACCACTAAGGAAGTGTTCTACCAACCTCCTGAGCGACTCAGAACACAGGAGACATATTTTTGGACGTGGCCAACATAGGAATTATTTTGCTTAATTGTGCATATTTGTCACAAAGGTTTCATTTTTACTTTTTTTTTTCCCAAGGGGGGAGATAAGAGGAAGACAAAATAAATGCTTATTAGTTGAAAAAAGTTAAAATTAAAAAAAAAATTCCCTTCATCAAAAAAAAAAAAATATTGCAGTTGGAACCCCACACAGACTCACTTGTCTCTTTGCTCTTCAGCCTGGCTGGTGTTTCCAGAAGTGTGACCTTGGTAGTTGCTTACATTATGACGATTACTGATTTTGGCTGGGAAGATGCATTACACATGGTTCGGGCAGGAAGGTCTTGTGCCAATCCCAACTTGGGCTTCCAGAAGCAGCTCCAGGAGTTTGAAAAGAATGAAGTTCACCAGGTAACCATGGGAGTTTTCTCTGTGTGTGTGTCGACTGAAGCCTCTGTTACAGGGCCTTCTGCTCTTAAAGCTCTGGAATCATATAATTCTAGAGCACCCTTTGTATGATTAATCATATAATTCTATAGGCCCCTTTGGCCATAGAGATCATCTCTTAACCCCACCCTTTCATTTTACAGATGAGGAAACCGAGGCTCAGACTTGGGGAAATGACTTGCCCAAAGGCTCACAGACAGTAGCAGTGACTGAACTAGCATGTGGTGTCCCTTTCCTGCCTGTCCTTTGCTCCTTCTCAATACACAGAGGGTATTTGGCTTATGGGCCCTGAGTGCTCTGACTCACATTCCAGCATGATAGGTTAAGACTTCTTTTAGTAACATTTCTGCTACAGTGGGCCTGTGGAGTAAAGAAGCCTTGCATGGAGGGTGGGGAGTGGGGCTACGTATGAGGTGAGCCTAGGAACAGAGAGGGTTACGGGAACAGAGAGTTTACAGGAACAGCCTTATTTGTCACATGGTATAGAGGATATTCTTGGACCCACTAGAAATGGAAAATCAGTTTATGAAATGGTATTCAGTGAGACCCCACAAGCATATTGACAGTTCTAGACATAGAAAAGCCCTTTTCTTGCAAGCTTATACTAGAGAACTTGGAGCCCAAACAGTTTTTGGCATTGAGCCATCAGCATTTCCACTCTATTTTGAATTTACAGGGAGGACGACTTGCAGAACATTTCTTTCTCCATTTGCTCCAGGTTTCTCAATTTTTTCCATCCTGTTCCAATCCCCAGGCATTATACATGCTCATTTTCTCACACTCAAGTCATTGACATTACTGCTTTATTTTGCTTTTTTCAATGACTTCCCTCTGAAACCTTTCAAAGATGATGATGATGATGATGCCTGTCAGCATGTTGTTGGAACAGAAGATGGTGTGGCTATTCATCATTCAGTCAGTCAACAGCTATCATGTGCTGAACTCTGAGGGTGCAAAAGAAGGCAAAAAAGATGGTCTCTGTCTCTCAAGGAGCTCGTCTTCTGGTGGGGAACACACCATTCAGACGATGATGTACATACAAAATATATACGGTGTAAATGGAAGGTGGTGATGGTGTTTATCCTTCACTTTTTACGTTTAAAAGAAAGGTGACCACAGAAGGAAGGAACTAGCCTCTGGGGGTCTTGGAAAGGCTTTTCGCAGGGGTGGTATATGAACTGAGTGGTGAGAACTACCAAGAGGCAGTGGTGAGGATGAGGAGTGAATTTTAGGCATTGGTGGAAAGGGCATGGTGGGATATGGAGGAACATCAAGGAAGCCAATGTGACCTGGCCAGTAAGTACATTGAGAGGAGTAAAGTATCCAAAAAGACTAGAAAGGCCGGAAGGGGGCAGGTTATGAAGGGCTTTAAAAAGCCGAACAGAGGATTTTATATTTGATCGGGAAGTAATAGGGAGCCATTGGAGTTTATTGAAGAGGGAGGCGACATGGTCAGACCTGTGTTTTAGGAAGATCACTTTGGCAGTGGAGTGGGGAGAAATAGATGTCAGAAGAGCAACCAGAAGGCCCTTGGGGTAGTCCAGTCTTGAGATGATGATGGCCTGCACCAGGGTGGTGGTTTTTATTTAACAAACATCTATTAAACCCTTACTACTGTGTGTAGAGAGCACTGCACATGCCTTCCTGTTGCTGTTTGAGAAAATCTAAACAATTTGGGCTGTTGGGTCCTCTGTGTGTGTGTGTGTGTGTGTGTGTGTGTGTGTGTGTGTGTGATGGTTTTGTTTCTGAACCCCCCCAGTTTCGGCAGTGGCTGAAAGACGAGTATGGAGAAAACCCTTTGAAGGATGCAGAAGAAGCCAAAAACATTCTGGGTAATTACAAAGAGCAAGCACGTGCAGAACCACCCCAGCACAATACCAGCGGGAGGCGGTGGAATAGCTTTTCGACTCTGCCATCACTAGCCTACAATAACTATACCACAGAGACATAACTCAACGGGATGCAGTCTTCTTCCTCTTCTTCTTCCTGCTTGTTTTTCATATTTTCTGTATGCACTGTGGTGTACTGGACCCCTTTGCAGTCCATGTGGTGGTGGGGTGATGGTGGTGGAGGTCTGGTAGTTGTGGTGGGGAAGGAATTGAGGGCTTCTCCTTACTGCATATATTCATTCTCTGGGCATCCTCTCCTTGCCCTGCAATTTCAGACTCTCCCCCAAGTGGCCCCAGCCTTAGCTTGCTTTGCAAAAAGGATACTGCTCAGTTACAGTACACTACCGTGGAGGGGAGGGGTGTGTGTATGCACACACACATGTGTGCCTGTTGTGTGTACACAAATGTGTGTCCTTGTATATATGATAATGATTATTATATATGTGTGTGTGTATATATATACATATATATGTGTGTATATATATATAATGCCACCAGTATTAGAATCATGAGTAGCCTTTTGTGGGTCCGGGCCTCTATGCAGAAGTATTTAAGCCATTCATTAACAAAACACTCTGGAAGAAAATAGCATTGTATATATGTGAGCTGACATTTAAAAGAACTCAAGGATATAAATTGGGGGACTGGAGGGAGCAGTGTTCTTCCCTGGGAGCCTGGTTTGGGGTGATTTGGGGGTTAATGCCAGAAGGAAATGGAATAATGAGAGAGAAGAGCATCAGTGGAAAGTGGTCCCTAGAGAAGGTTTGGTCTCCAGCTACCCTTGAGCCAGGGGCCCCTGGAGGCCAGGGTTTGTTCTGGGGGACTTTAGAGCTATCCTCCAGTCCTCCTGGCCTGGTCTAGGTGGTCTCCACATCTTTGTGCGAGGTCAGTGCACTTTTGAGTCAGGCTGCTCACTCTGCTGAGTTTTGCTGAATGTTGACTGTTAGATGTTGACCACAAGGCATCATCCTTGTCACCAGGACCACCTCAAAGGTTCCTTCATGCGTAGGTTTATTTTTCACCCTCACTCTGTAATAGGCTTCTCTCAGGATTCCTATGTGTCTGTAGGGATCTGTGTGTTGTGTCCAAAGAAAGAGTTTATTAAGCACCTGGACAGTGTTCATTAATAAATGCCTGAGCATTGATTAAGCACTTTTGTTTGTACTGTGGACTTGGGAGTTGACCTCAGCTACCTCATAGAAAGTGGTTGTTTTTTTTGTTTGGGCTTTGTTTTTTTTTTGTTTTTAAACTGATGAACCCAACCCATGAGTAGACACGTTCATTCTTTTTGGGAAGAGAAATGAAAGGACTTCAATGCCCACTCAAGCCATTTGAAAGTTTCTAACTTTGGCTTGAATAATGATGGTTCTGATAGGTCTGAACTTAAGTATTAAAGCAGAAGACAGCAGTATATGGGTGCAGATGTATAACCTCTGCCTTGTGTGCACTTGGGAGCAGCAGTAGGCATCATCTGCTGGGTGCTGCTGTCTTCCAGGGGGTCTCCACTCCCTTATGCCAACTCAGATTTTTTAAGCATGCAGAGCTCCGAGAATGAAAAAATGTGCCTGTCCTCTCCCTAAAAAGATGTTGCGACGCTGTTCTTCTGAATGCCACCACAAAAGAACCCCTGAATGAGAAGAGAAGTTATCCAGTGCATTGTAGGGTCTGTGTTCAAGGTGAGCCATTTGGGGACAGGGAAGAATGGAACACTGCATTTCTAGATAGAAGCTATTTGCCACAAGCAGTGGAAGAGAGAGATACTATTGATGCAGTTATAACTTTGCACTCCAAACAACAACAACAACAAAAACAAAAGCCCTGCCTTTTAAGAGCATTTTTGTCAAACCAAAAAGGAAATTTTATTTAAGTTAGAGTATTGAGTTGTTAGTTTCTAAGTACATAAATGTTTGTGTATGTTTTTGAATATCCAAATATCACGTGTAACCCAAAATGCCATTTTAAATAGTGATTGCCAGTAATACTCTTTCTCCACAGCAACAGCCGGAGTTCTGAAATATTTGACATTACTAAGAAGACTAGTGGACAGTTGAAGATGTCTGTTGGGAGTCATACTTTGCATACCTGTAATTTCTGAGCTTCCTCTCAGTGGTGTGGATTGTACTGCCAAAAAAACAAAAACAAAAAAACTGAAAATAAATAACCTGTGGCCATTTTTTAGATTTCCAGTTTTAAGTGTCTATTGATCTTGCTGAGGCTTCTATCTTTTTTGATTGAAATGGATGCTCTATCGTGACATGATGTATGCTTTTAGGAACTGGGGTTACTATTTGGCCAAAAGAAAATTATTTGCACACTAAAAAAATCACAGGATTTAAATTTGGATGATTTAGGAGGTGAGGGAGGAGACAACAATTCAGAGTATTAGATGTGTTTTCGCCATTCTAGCTTCTGGTATAATGCTGATTGTTTCTTAGACCTGATTTGAATGGAGAAGTTGGTGACCTTGGGGGGCTTTCATCCCGTGAGCTCTTTGGCACCTCAGAGGGGCACTGTGAAAAGCTTCTCACCCTGTTTGTATTTTATCCATAATGTATGTCATCAATGATGTGTGTTTAATCAAAGCTCCATGTTTTTATTAATAAAGACTACCTTTCCTAACTTTACCTCTGTACTATTTCTTCATTGAAGGAGAGTCATGTCTATTTTTACAGGTCAGACATTCCAGAATGGGATTCCAGTTGGTTTGGTTGTGACATCTTGGATTGCTGGTTTTTATGTTGTCCCTATTTCTATTATATCTCTTAGTATGGAATCTGTCTGAGCTGTGGGGTATGAATTAATTTCAACTTGGAGTGGAATCCATGGAAGGAATGGAAGGAATCAGAATCTTCAGTATGCAAAGGGATAGCTTAGGCTCCCAGAGTTGAGTCATTTAGTATAGGTGAGCAGTAGTTGCTGAAATAATCCTCCTCGTTCACAGTTTAGACCATGCCACTCCCCTGCTCTATAACAGTTGTTGGCTCGGCTCTCCATTTCCCATAGAATAAAATAAAAACACCTTGACTAGGCATTTAATGCCTTCTATAGCCTGACTGGTGCAGCTAGGTGGGACAGTGGATAGAGTGTTGGGCCTGAAGTCAGCAACATGACTCTTCCTGAGTTCAAAGCCTCAGACGCTAGCAGTGTGACCCTGGGCAAGTAACTTAATCTTGTTTGCCTCAGTTTTCTCACCTGTAAAATGAGCTGGGCAAGGAAATGTTAAAGCAGTTCAGTATCTTTGCCAAGAAAATCCCAAATGGTGAAAAATAAATTATAAGCTCCTTTACAGCAGAAATTGTCACTTTTCATCCTCATATCCCTAGTTCCTTGTGGAACTCAGAATGTACTCTGGCTTGCCATCATGATCGTTCCCATTCTATGTGATGCTATTAAAATGTCAAAAGGTGCCCCCCAAAGCTATGTTTTCCCTTCACTTGGGGCTGCAAGGACATTCAGTGCCTGATTTCCTCTCCTGGCACTCTGAGGGTCTACATGGTCACTATATCCAAGGCAGGTGAGGCCAGGAACTGATGGATTTGGGCCCGTGGACTCTAGGTGGCAGGCTTGATTGCTGAATAGAAACTTGTTCTCACTTTCCCCTGAACTCACGGGACTGTAATCCATGGGAAAACCGGCTCATCCAGTGAAATGGAAGGAGATTGGGAATATGCTGATAGGGATGGCACCTAACAGCTCCTCAAGGTGCATTTCTCAAAAAACAAACCCCCAAACAGCTCCCTAGTAAATTTTGAAATGCTGCTGGTTTAGGTTCCCCAAAGGTATGCTTGGAGCAGCATAGATAACGATAGTGATTCTATCCACATGCGTAGTATCCACCCTATGCATCTCCCCAGCCACCACAGCATTTGGGGCAGACAGAACCTGGTTTTATGTGGGGGGTGGAGAGAAGGGGGAAGCCATCAAATTCAAGTTCAAATTTATAGGCAAACTTTAAAAAATATATATGGATATGTTTGCTTGGGGAAAGGTGGCATTATCAAAGCACCTGATAAGTTTGGTGATAGATCAAGGTGTCATCACTTCCAACATGTTTATTTGTCTTCTGCATGTGGATGTTGTCATGTAGGCAGCTGCTTGTTAATTTAATTAAAATGTGGTCCCTGGCTTAGTCATGGTTCTGTCCCTGCTAGTCCCAACTTGAAATTAAGTGTCATCTATTGGGATCAATCACTTGCCCTGTTTCCTTCACATGTTTCACTCCAGTACATATTCTTTGGTCTCTGCTGAGCTTTTCTCTCTGCTTGTATGTGAAATATTAGGAAAGAGGCACTAGGGACTCAGTAGTGTTTATTGGGAAGAATGTTGCTGGGGAGTTAAGTTATTGTAAGTTAATCTAAAGCTGGCCCAGGCTTATTGTCCCGGAACTGTAGCACTGTGAATGATTCTGAGGTTACAGACCCAGAAGAACAGCATAAACATTAGCGTGGCTGTGGAAACTGGAGACCTGTGTTTGGGACTGGCCCCCCTTATTCCTCACATGTAAGAGTCTACTTCACAGACCATCATAAATGAACCCCTTTCTCAGAAAAGCAGTATAGTGTGATGAATAGAAAGTTAGCCAGAGAGACCCAAGTTCAAGTCCCAAATCTGAATGTATTGGCTGTGTGACTTAGGCAAGTGATGTAACCTTTGTGTGGCCTAATAACTCTAACAGCAGTTCTTAACTTGGGGGACCATGACATTTGTTTGTTTTTTTTGAACAATTTTGATAACTGTGTCTCGCTATAATTGGTTTCTTTTTAAACTTATGTATTTTATGCATTTAAAAATATTACACTAAGAAAGGGGTCCATAGAATTCAACAGATTGCCATGAGTCCATGACACATGGAACTATGCCCAAAGGGCTATAAAACTGTGTATACCCTTTGACCCAGCAATACCACTTCTAGATCTATATTCCAGAGAGATCATACAACTGGGAAAAGGACCCACATGTACAAAAGTATTTATAGCAGCTCTTTTTGTGGTGACCAAGAATTGGAAATGGAGGGGATGCCCATCAGTTAGGGAATGGCTGAACAAGTTGTGATATATGAATGTAATGGAATGCTATTGTGCTATAAGAAATGATGAGTAGGCAGACTTCAGAAAAACCTGGAAAGACTTATGTGAACTGATCCTGAGTAAAATGAGCAGAACTAGGAGAACATTGTATACAGTAACAGCCACAATGTTCGATGACTAACTTTGATAGACTTATCTTTTCTTAGCAATGCAAGAATCCAAGACAACTCTAAAGGACTCGTGATGGAAAATGCTGTCTACATCCAGAAAAAGAACTATGGAGTCTGAATGCAGATCAAAGCATATTATTTGCACTCTCTCTTTCTTTTTTTTTTGTGTGTGTGTTTCTTCTTTCTCATAGTTTCTGTCATTGGTTCTAATTCTTTACAACATGACTAATGTGAAAATAGGTTCAATGTGGCAGTATATGTAGCGCCTATATCACATTGCATGCCATCTTGGGGTTGGGGAAGGGGAGAGATGGGGAGACAATTTGGAACTCAAAATCTTATGGAAGTGAATGTTGAAAACTAAAAATAAATAATTAAAAAAAAAACTGCTACCCTGAGATGGTAAGTTGCAGGAAGGATATGGACCAGCCTTAGTAGAGGCAATTTCTCCTGTGAGTTCCCTCTAACAAGTGGTTCTGAGAGTATGCTCTGAGTTCTCTCTGAGAGTCCCCCAAGACCCTTTCTGGGGGGTTATGGAGTCAAAACTATTTTCATAATAATATGTTATTTGCCTATTAAGATACTCCTTCCTTTTCCAACTATATACCTGTGTGAAGCCCAATTTTCTACATAGACTTCAATCAAAACAATTTATTGCAACAGGTCTAATAAAGAAGCAAATATGAGATTCCAGCTGTCTTCTATTAAGCCAGACATTTAAAATATTTGCAAAAATATATGAAACAGTGTCACTTTTCTCTATTTTTTATTTGGAAAAGTCATTTTTCATTAAAAAAAATATGTTGACATGTAATGGGTTTATTGTTATTTTAAATGAATTAAACATTAAAAAAAATTTTAACTTCTACTGTGGTAAATATCGATAGATATAACCCTTCTCTCTTCTCTTTTTTGTTTCTCTTTATTTCTTTTTCCTTTCTTCTAAGGATTCTAAGAGGTAAAGATAAGGAAGGGGTGTATTCCAGAAATAGAAAAGGCCCTATGCAAAGGCATGGAGGGAGGAGATAGAATATTGAGTGCAGAGAACAACTTGAATTAGAGTTATTTTTGTCCTTAACTCATTCTTCTCTACTAGAGCATAAGCTCCTTGAGTACAGGGACTGTATCATTTTAAACATTTAAAAAAATTTAACTTTTACTGTGGTATGTATCTATAGATAAAACCCTTCTGTCCTCTCCTTTTTCTTCTTTCCTCCTCCCTCCCTCTCTCTGTCTTTGTTTCTGTCTGTCTGTCTCATTTTTTTCTCTCCTTATTTCTCTTTCCTTCTAAGGATTCTAAGAGGTAGAGATAAGGAAAGGGTTCCTTGTATATATATAGTGAGTACTTGATACAGTGTTCATTGAATTGAATGGGGATTGATCTAAGGAAGCTCCTGAGGTTTCTTGCAGATCTCTAATTCTGAGTCCATAAATAGGATCTCATTTGGGACATCTGCATTTACCTACCCTCAAAACTTCACAGGACTCTTCAGTTAGGCATTACATAAAGTCAGTCCTGTAAAAGAACTTAAGAGATTGCCTTGTTAGGTGCCCTAATTTTACCATTGAGAAAATGAATACATTGTGTCAATATGAAACCTGTCTAAGGTCAGAGGCTCAAGTAGTTACTGGCAGAGCAGGGACTTAGACTCGACTCCAGTGGCTTTCTTTTTTTTCAATATTTTTAGCTCAATATTCCATTTATTAAAAATTCTTTTTTTCTGGTTAATAGTTTTAATTGTACATGATCTTAGGCGTACAGTTTTCACTATTTAACATTTTGTATAACATCAGTTACAACACACAAGATTTTTCAAATGAGACAATACTTATTAAACTAGCTAGTTTACATCATTACGAAGCTTTACCTGAAAAATACCTTAAGTAAAATAAAACATTCGCTTTACCAGTTCCCTCTGATTTAAAAAAATATATATATGAATAGAAATATACATTTTAATTTAAAAAAATCAAGACAATGGTTAAATAAGTACTGATTAATCAGTTACACTTGAAAATTTTATAACCTACACGTGAGTGCACAATAGATAAAAGTCTGCAAATTATTAATACAAAATTGCAGTACTCAGATGAACTGACCTGCTGTCAATTTTTTTTCCCTCTATGAACTGGAGGTAATTTTCTACATGCTATTAAGTGTCCAGTCTTTAAAAACATCTGTAGCATTTCCACATAGTAACGTGAAGAATATGAAGATCTGGAGAGAGGGGGTGGGGGAGCTAATCCTTCTCAGTCATTATTTGGTGAGAATTATGAAAGAGTAAAGAAAAAGAAAACCACTGTCATCAAAATTTAAAAATTAAAATTCCATTTTATTATGTTATATTAAGATCTGATCTCAATAACATGCACAGGGAAAGTGTGTGTGTGTGTGTGTGTTTAAGACAGTCAGTGTGGTTTGGTAGA